CCTTCCGCTGCATGAAACCTAGAAACCAAACCCTAGATCGATGAGATCGCATGCTAGGAACCCGAAGGGAACCCAACAGCGTTGTCCAACCAGACAACATCGAGTATGCTGGAAAATCACTAATTGTCCACATCAGCACCGCACGAAGCAAAAAATTTTGCTTTATTGACACGTCATATGCCTCAACCCCAATACTCCAAAGGTCTTTCAACTCTTCTATCAACGGTTGAAGGAAAATATCCAAACTCCTCCTAGGATGTTTAGGTCCCGGAACTAATATTGAGAGAAATAAAAATTCTCTATTCATACACATGTCCGGAGGTAAATTGTAGGGTGTTAAAATCACCGGCCATAGAGAATAATTTGGACCAGACATCCCAAATGGATTAAATCCATCCGTGCATAATGCTAGATATACGTTTCTAGTCTCACTTGCAAAATCAGGAAATACCTGTTGAAAGTGTTTCCATGCTAAACCATCGGATGGATGATGCATTTCTCCATCAGGCGTCGAATGCTCGCCATGCCATCGCATAAATGATGCTGTCTTTTCGGATTGATATAACCTTTTCAAACGATCTGTTATAGGCATATAAAACATTCTCTTCAAAGGAATTAACTTGCCTTTCTTTGAAGTTTTCCGGCGTGGTCGATATCTGTCTTTCCCGCAGAAACGACATTCCATCAATTCTGCATCTTCTTTCCAAAAAATCATACAGTTGTCTTCACAAACATCAATCTTCCGGTAAGGTAGACCCAACGTACGCATCAGACTCTTCGTCTCATAATATGATTCTGTTGCAGTGTTACCTTCCGGAAGATACTGTTTAAACATCTGACTGAAGCCATCCATACATCTCTCCGGAAGATTGTAGTCAGTCTTCATATTCATCAATTGTGAAGATAATGATAATCTTGACAGCCCTTGTACGCAACCTTCATATATCGGAGTGTTCGCCGTGTTAAGCATATCATAAAATCTTTTCGCTTCAACATTTGGCTCTTCTTCCATATATGGAGAAGGAGCAACGTTGGGAAATGCATCATTCACCATCTCTGCATATAGATTTCGGTCTCCATCTTCTTGAAAGATCGGAGGTAGTGACGTGTTTTCCACAAGTTGTTCTTGCATTTGTGAAACACGTGATGATGACGACGTATCATACGTTTCTCCATGAGCCAACCAAACATAATAGTTTGACATAAAACCTCTTCTATAAAGGTGCTTACACACTTCATACTGACTTCGCCATCTTTTATTCTCGCATTTTGAGCACGGACATGGTAACTTCGAACTCTCAATATACGACGTTTGACTTGTTCCAAACGCCATAAAATGTTGTAATCCTTCAACAAACTCACTCGAGATTTGATTAGAAGAATCAAACCTATTATACATCCACATTCTGGATAAAAAAGATATTTTTTTGTAAATAATTTTTTTTTCCGTTAATAATTTTTTTTTCCTATCTATGCATGCTCATCGCGCGGCGGATATATAGGTGGAACGTTGCGACGGAATTGCGACCGATATTTTCTGTCGTAAAATGATTTGCGACCGAAGTGCGACAGAATTGCGATAAAAGTTAGGTGACATACCATTCACGTGTGTACCTAATTTTGCGACACAGCGGTGAGTCGCACATCAGTCTCAAATATTGAGCGACTCCTACAGTGTGTCGCATATCGGTCGCATACTATCCGCGACGCATAACATCTGTCGCAAATGTGTCGTACACGTAGACCGACCGAACATATCTGTCGCATACTGTGTCGGTACATACCGACAGACCATCTGTCGTAAATTATCTGTCGTTTTCCGTCGTATTTCTGTCGCAAATACGTGCGACAGAGTTATCGGTCGCAAGCGGTCGGAAATTTGCGACAGATTTTGCGTCCAAGTCCGACAGAGGTATTTTTCCGAGATTGTGTCGCTTTTTAGTCGCGGTCTGTCGCACATTTTATTGCGACTGAAATTTCGGTCGCAACAGGTGTCGCAAATTTCAGTTTTTCTTGTAGTGATAGCTAATTATATTTATTAAAAAAAAAAGATCCATACCGACATTCCACTAAG